CAGAGGCTGGCGTGAACTAGCCCTTATTCCTTGGAACTCAGACTGCCATTCTCTTTTTGACTTAAGTCTTCTAGTGAAAAAAGGATTAAAAAAAAAAGGGAGACCGGGACCACAACATGGAAAGGGCACCTACAATTAACAGCAGCCCACCCCAAAATAATGGCACTGCTACAACATAATGTAGTTATTACATTTAATTCAAATCCTTTTATTTCTAGGAACATCTACCACAACAAAAAGAATTTAAGACCTTCCTTGCATATAACATTTTTCAAAATATCAAATACTTTTCAACACATCAATAAACTTTAAGCCTAAACTCAAACTACTGGACATATTGGCAATGAAAACGTCATCCAGGCATTTTTTGGACAGAAAAAGAATCCGAATACAGTTAAGAGACAATACTTTTATATGGCAGTTTAATAGTGCTAATAATTCACTGGAAAATTAAATTCATGCTGTGAACCGCTTGTCCTAGAAATTTTTTGGCACTGGAACAAACGGTGATGCGACTTGTTTAGAAGCAGCCATATTTATACAATTTCAGCAAAGGATTTACAACCGATTATCCAAAGCAGAAGTTTTCTGTAAAAAAGCTTATGTTAAAGAACATAAATAGGGATTTTCATGTACTGCCATAAATCAGTGCTGCAGAAGACCCAGCGGCATAATCTAAATTGTCATAGAACTGCTTGCAGAGTTAAAGCTGAAGTCCAAGAAAATTTGAAATCCCAGTAATAAAAACTGCAAGCCCCATGTCATGATCAACTGACAAAAAGTGTCCTAAAATTTAAACATAAACCTTTACTTTAAATTTTACAATTCAACTATCTTACTTAAATAAAACCTAATTTTTATGCGATATCCCACTAGCAAGTCTTTGATTATATTTTGTGGGAAATATCTGGAGATGTGTAAATTATGGTAAAATAAACAGTAAAATGCAATGCAAAGTCTCCTCCTTTCTTCATTATGAATATACATGTATCCAAATCTTCTACCAATCTAAATCCCTAAATAATAATAAAGTACAGTAGTACCTCGGTTCACAAACTTAATTTGTTCCACGATTCTGGTCGCGAAACGAATCAAATATACTAAGTGCTAAAAAGCACACAAAAAAGCGGCCCAGCAAGTGTTCAAAGGTCTGTCTGTGGGGAAGATGGCCGCGGTCGTGTTCGTCACCCAATTTGGAGTTCGTGAACACAAGCAAAATTTTCCTGAACTTTCTGTTCGCAAACCGAGGTATTACTGTATACAGTATTACTGTATTACAGTATATGTTATAGACTGTAAGAACTGCAAAAGTGAAAAGCTATAAGATGCAGAATAGCCACATCTCCAAATAGAAAAAATAAAGTATTTGCGGACGACTGTATGTTAGTCTGTGTCAGAGAGCTTCATTAATTCCGGTGACTCAGCTGTGGCCAGATCGCTTCTACGGCCCGGTGAAGGGGTCTCCCCCCCAACACCCCGCCATGCTTCTTGGGCTCCGTTGCCGCTCCTACGGGGCCGGCTTCTCTGGTGTCGGCGGGAGGAGATGGACGAACCTCTGTTCGTCCATCCACTCCCCGTTCTATGGGACAGGGAGTGATGCAGATTACCTCTCCTTTCTAGTCCCATAGCTGTCAGTGCTGGGCTCCTGAAGCCCAGCTATAAGCTTATTAGGAGTGTAAAGGTGACACTGGGGGTCTTTTGGACCCCCAGCATCACCTTAAAGAGTACCTGTCACCACCATCTGCTATCACATGGGGGGCTTGTAATCCCCCCTATGTGATAGCAATTAAAGTTTAAAAAAAAACAAAACAGTTTTTAAAATTAACATTACATAAAATAAATAAAGTGAGCCTCTATGGACTTTTTGGGGTACTGAAGTTTGTCACCGTTTCACGGACGCACACCATTTATAACCTGGACATGTTGGGTATCTATTTACTCGTTGTAACCATCTTTTATATTTAAAAAAAAATTGTATTTTATTGTGCTTTGGGGCATGCAAGTACATTTTTCACTAAATTCTGGGGTTTGATAAGGAGTTGCACTAACATCGTTCAACATAAAAATTTGCAAATGTCACCATTTTATTCTATAGGGCTTTCAGAAAATATATAATGTTTGGGGGTTAAGTAATTTTCAGGCCTAAAATGTGGAATATAACATGGGTGCAAAAAATGAAAAAAAGGCCTCAGTCATGAAGGGGTTAAAAGGGTATAAGCATGTTTGTGCTATGGTATTTCTATTTTGTGAAAAATGCATCCTAGATGAGTTTACAGTTTTAATATGATTTACTGACAAGCATATCAAATATTTTGGAAACACAATGTAAAACTTTTATTATGGATTAATAACATGATTTCATTCTTTTGCCATTTGACAAGAAGCTTAATTTGCACAGCTTGAATGTGTCAACAGCCAAAATTAGTTCAAATATTGATTTTGTAAATACGATCTTGATTATAATGTTTGTCACACCTGAGCTCCTTGGTAACAACTGTAAATATAACTTCCAGAAAGAAAAAAAAAAAGGAACAGATAATCTCAATCTTTGAGGATCAATATCTACACCTGGCTTGCATCACCTTACACACAATGATCATTTGATGCGCACATTTACTGCAACATTCAAGCAACTATACACAACTAAGGCCCCATTCACATCAGGGCGTTTCAACGCGCGTTTCTGCACTGAAACGCATGAAAATTTAAATCCTATGTATTCCCATGGGGACCTTTTGTGGCACTTATCAGCTCATTTTGCTTCATAGACTTCAATGGAAATGCGCGATCATTGTGTGTTTTAGCGCGTTTTTGCAGCGGAGACTGCTTTGCATTGGACAACTGAAAACGAGCTGAAAACGCACCATAAAAAGCCATTACATATGAACAGAAACTGACTGTAAAACTCGCTGAAACGTGCTAAAAAAAAAAAAGCACGCGCAAAGCACGTTGAGATGCTGTCGCCCTGGTTTGGATGGGGTCTTAAAAAGTAATTCCACTTTTGTTGAGAAAAAATAAATCAATCAATCCTCTCTGTGATCTATGTACATGGAAGGATATTAACAAACTTTGTTGCCGATTCTACTGTATTCTGTGATGAAAAAATAGAAGTGTGTCCTTTCCAAAATGATTCCTGAACGGGAGGGTCTGGGTTCCAGTTGGTGGGCTTCCTTTGTTCTAATAGGGAAAGGTGCATCCTTTCAGTAGTGATTAACCCTCAGGGAGTATTTCACCAAAAATGAAATTACTATTGCAGGGAATGCCAAATACTGCATTTGTGTCTTAGTGCAGACTTCTGTGGAAAACTAGTCAGCCAATCACAAAAGCAGGAGGTGACATTTCTCGGGGAGTACACGAACTGTGTATGGGACGCCTTCAGGTCACCATATTGCGTTGAATTTTTAACAGATTGAGAACATTACAGCAACTACAGTTTTAAATGGAAAAGTCATTTTAATAACATGAAATTACAAAATGGCTTGTGCAATATTTATATATGTTATATTCACTTTTTTTAGATTCTTTCATTTTAGATTTTTAACCCCTTGTCGTCCGCCCATTGTAATACGTGATTTACTTCCTTGTTGCGCGTGCCCCCTACCCTACCGTTACCGGCTGTTATATACAAGCGTTCAGCTGGCTCTACAGCCTGCCGATCGCTTGTAGATTTTGCAGATCTCTGCTTCATCAGCTTCTTTGGGGGTCCCCAGGTGACATTAGGGGTCTTAGAGACCCCTGATGTCTCCATAAAGAGGACCTGTCAGTGTATATTGGCTATAACATAGGGGGTTTGTTATCAAGTTAAGTTAAAAAAATTAAAGTCCCACATAAAAAAAAAATCAATTAAAAAAAAAAAACTCAATAAAGTTTTAAGTCCCCCACTCTCCACATGCACGCACTTATAAACATAAATACGCTTTGGGTGCGCCTATGTGCAAAAACAACCATTACGCCACACATGTTACATATCGCCGCAAATGTCAGAGTGCGAGCAATAATTTTAGGGGCATGAATCACTGATAACACTAAATTGATGGTCGGTAAAAGTTTTTAAAGCGTTGCCTATGGACAATTTTAGGCATGGTAGTTTTTTCGCGGGCACATGCAATTTTAAAGCTTGACATACGAGTTATCCAACATGAACTCGTATTTTATATTTTACCAAAAATTTGGGGGGTGCTGATAAGACAACGTAGGGAAAACAGTGTTTGTTTTTTCGTTCTTTTTTCATTATATAGTTAAAAAAAATAAAAACCCCAGTGGTGATTAAATACCACCAAAAGAAAACTCGATCTGTCCCTAAAAAATGGTTTCAGTAAAAAAAAAAAAAAATTTCAGTACAGCGCTGCATGACTGAATAAATGTAAAAGTACTGCAGCGCTGAATACTGAAAAGTGGCCAGGACAGGAAGGGGGTTTAATACCCCGGTCAGCAAGTGGTTAAAGTGGAGTTACTACTCTAGGGAGCACCTAAAGTGTGGATGATGTCCCTGAAAAAAGGCAAAGGACTAGTAATCAGTACAGTCTGTGTTCTCCGTGCAGCTGATCTTTTCACAGGACTAATTTACCAGACGCAGAAGTGCCTAAGCCCGGGAAGTATACTTTTTTTTGAAGGAACTGCAGGCAAAATGGTTAAGCCCACTCTAAAAGGTGCCCATACACTGCACGGTGCTGGGGAGACAAATGCCGAACGGGCTGGTGTGCGCACGCGCACACTGCCCGTTCAGCATTGCAGTCATCGCAAGCCCGTCCCTCAGGGGGGCGGCCTTGCGATGATCGCAAGTACGATCTGCCTGTCCAGGATGGGCAGATCGTACGTTTTTTAATTACTTTACAACCATCGCAAGACTAAGGTCTTGCGATGGTTGTAAAGTGTATGGCCACCTTAAGGTTGTATGTATGTTATAGAATATCTGTATACCAAACATGGCAAGGTTAGAGTAAATATGTACAAAGTGAATGCAAAAATTCTGGTATACAGACAACAGTTAGCAGCCTTACCGGTCATCGATGGCGCTTCTTTTCGTTGTCCGCTTGGCGTGGTAGTTGCTTCATATGCAACAGTAACATCATAAACGGCATCCAGGTAGTCCTGCATGGTGTCAATTGCTAGATGAGTGGCCTTCACACGCGGTGTCAGCACATGCTTCAAGACGGGCAAACCTATTGTAGAAAATGTCGTTTTGAAATGTTTAAACATTACCTTTATATTAAACTATGCATGATCTTCACATAACTGTGTGTATGCATCATAGTGTGTATTTATCTTTCACTTCCGACTCCAGGATAAGAAAATACAAGATGCATGTATGAGAGTTACTTTAAAAAATAGGTCTGCCTAATGCCATACTCCATATAATACCATACCAAACTCTGTATTAACTTCATATTAATATTGAAATGCAGTAATAAAAAAAATCAAATGAAGACAAATAGATATACATAAAACAAATTAAGACAAAATAGGCACACAATGTTTCCAGGATAATACATGTCGTAGATGAGCAGAACAGTGAGTACACAGGGGATTTTTTTCTGGTTAGATGAGAGTTCTGGTTCGTTGAGTCTTGGATAACAGAGTTTAGTGTGTATATAAAATAAATATATAAAAAAATTAATTAGGCTTGTATCATGTGACTTTCTATTAGTATACTTGATCAATAATAATGGGAGCATCTACATATAACCCTGCATGCAGTACTACTGCCCTGAGCCTACTGTGAACTGCACTGTGCACGATTAGCAGCAATCATGTAATTATGCATGCCATCTGTTTCTATACAAAGAACTTTTTCGGTACATATCACTAATGGCAGAATTTAAAGTGGGTGTCCAAATTGAACATGTAACTGGCTAAACAAAAGGGATCTCTTACGACACAATATAGTAAAAACGAATGAAAAGGTGGAAAGAATAATAATTAAATATAAAGGGGAAAATAGAAAGAAAACACAAAAAAACAAAACTTGAATGTATGCAAGTCTTATTTTTATGGTTAGTATACAATGCAAAGCAAACTATTTTCTGCGCCCTTTAACCCTTTCGCTGCCAAGGACGTATGGCATACGG